TGTCGGAATTAGTCGCCGACGACTCGACCGGATGCAGTTTATAACGTTGTGCCCAGGACACTATAATCCTAATCTACACTTACACTAAAATAAACTAACTTAAATAATTGGTTGAATTATTCCCATAATTAATAAATGAAGGTTTCGGGTCAGAGGTCGGCAAATAAAAAAAAACAGGAATTTCTTGAGCTTTGACTTGAATATATTTAAACTTGTAGCTTCTCTTAAGTCAGATGGTAACTGGTTCCAGAGGATAGGTGCAGCAACACTGAAGGCTCTATCACCATAGGATTTCAACCTAGAAGAGCGTCTGGTAAGTACATAACTGCTAGTTGACGATCGCAGTGACTGTATACATGACATCGACCGAAGATTTAGCATGTCGCTTATGTACACAGGTGAAAGACCGTGAAGAGCTTTGTATGTAATGAGATTTATCTTAAAAACTATCCTTTGTTTGACAGGAAGCCATTGAAGTCGGTTCAGAATAGGAGTGATATGATGAAAACGTGGAGTTCCTGAGATAAATCTTGCAGACATATTTTGCGCACGCTGCAATTTTGAGATTAATTTATCAGGAAGGTCATATAGAATGCTGTTGCAATAGTCCAACCTACAAGTGATGAATGCATGAACAATCTTAATAAGTGCTTGTTCGGTTAAAAGGTGGCGAATTCGCCTGATATTTCGTCCCTGAAATGCTATAGATTTACAAATGCTGTTAACATGTTTCTCAATGTCCATGTTAGAATCAAATAAAATTCCAAGATTCTTTACTGCAGTAGATGGAGTAACGTCAACATCATCACCAACTGTAATTCTGTCAATAGTCGGAATGCTGCTTCTACGTTTAGAATGAATGTACAAGACCTGTGTCTTATCAACATTTAAACAGAGCATATTGTTTTCAAGCCATGTGTTGACTTCTTTGATACAAGTTTGTAATGTTGTTACTGCATGGTCACACGTGTCATTGTTGGGCTTGAAACTGAGATACAATTGTGTATTATCAGCGTGAAAATCATCATGTGAAAATTAGTGCCGTAGCGACGAATTATATTACCAATAGGTTTAATGTATAGTGTGAACAATATAGGCCCAAGAATTGAGCATTGGGGGACCCCGCAATCTATATCTATGTAACTAGATAGTACACCATCAATGTATACAGCTTGTTGCCTACCATGTAGATAAGACCAAAACCAGCGGAGGACATATCCACCGATTCCAAAAGAAGCAAGCCTGTTTAAGAGAATTGTATGGTCGATCGTATCAAATGCTGCTGAGAGGTCTAGAAAGACTAACAGCACACACTTTCCCTCATCCACTGATACCATGATATCATTATGAATTTTTAGTATTGCTGTTTCTGTACTATGTAATTTACGATAAGCTGACTGAAACACTTCTGATAAGTCGTTGACATCAATGAAGTACATTAATTCATCTGTGACTACTTTTTCAATAACTTTTGAAATGAAAGCAATATTTGTAACAGGTCTGTAATGTGACAAAATATTTGGATCGAAAGATGGCTTCTTAAGCAGAGGTTTAACTATGCCCTGTTTAAGACGGTGAGGAAACTCACCGGATGACAATGACTTATTGACAATAGATGAAATAACTGGAAGTGTAGATGAAATCACACGTTTCAAGATTGTTGTGGGGACTGGGTCAAGCTGACAGCATTTGGCCGGCGTATCGCATATCAACTTGGATAGATTAATATCGGTCACGTAATTAAATGTGCAAAACAATGGCGGCTGAAGAGGAAAAGAATGTGCCAAAGAACATGATCGGGTTGAAATTAGGTTGTTACGAGCTTTCTGTATCTTATCGATAAAAAAGTTGTTAAATTGATCAGCAAGTTGTTTATGTGATGTGTTAGGAATTGTTGGAAAAATACAGCCCTTGCTTCTACCAAGTAAACTATTTGTCATTTGGTACAACTTTCCCTGATCTGAACCACATATACCACAGTGTAGTATAATGGTGTTTATGCCATCTAATGATTCCAATTTCAAGGCATTTTTAATGTCTTAGATTTCTGCTCCTGAAAGACACTGAATTTTGGTATTATGTAAGCCATTTTCACGAATATGTTTGATGATTAAGTCGCCTATGGTCAGTGTATCACGTTCTGTCGTTATCACATCTTTATTATTATGTTGGTGGCCATTCTTACCGTACACTTGTTGGAACACAAGGAGCATATGACTGCTGTACCTTTAAACAATTTCATAACACATGTAGATATGCATTTCACTTTCTGACATGAATCAGTTATAGCATTCTTGATTGATTTGGAGACCAGGGGCGGATCCAGAAATGTCCAAAAGGGTGTGACGGAAGTTGGGCCGATTGAGACAACACTGTCTTAAGGGGGTTTTTGTGTTCTAGACGCCGGAACATAACATTTGAGACATTCTTGGCTATTATTTTTTTCTTTTTCCCTCTTTTTTTTTCTTCTTTTTTTACTTCCCAAAAGGGGGAGCCGGGGCCGGGCTGCCCCCCCCCCACCTAAATCCGCCCCTGGAGACGTACTTAAAGTCAGGCTCCGGAGGAAAAATTCTTTTCCTCCGGAGCCTGACTTTAGAGTTACAAGTTGTAAAAGTAGGAATTGTTGGTATGTTTGGTGATCCATTTCTCTGAATTTTAGGTGTAGAAACTTACTTATTTGTTTTGGCTGTTTCTTATTTTTAAGGTTGAACATGCAACTGTACTTAATTGTTTATGGGTACGATAGCTATCTCTTGTGTTCACTCACAGTGCATTGGCAGCACAACAGGAAGTCTTCTGAAAGCTTCTGATAAACAATTTGTTGTTTCACTTGGATTGGGCCTAGCTTTATCTGTTCAACTTGTTGATAGGGCTTGAGTGTGCTTAGCTGAGTAGCAAACAGCTTGTATGCTGGCCTAGGAAAGTTCACTAAAATAACCTTCAAAATACAGATAAACAGAATCTCAGTATCCTTGAAAATTATACAGTGTTGACAACAAGTAAACCAGAGCCTTGCAGGTGCCAACATTCCTATGCATGATACATGATTTAACCAACCATATTTTCTGATTAAGTCATCATAAATGACATAATCAGAAAATGAATGTAGGAAGAAAGCTACCCCTGTTAAAAGCCACCCCTGTCAAAAGCCACCCAACAATGGATTATACCATTGTAAGTTGGGGTGCACAATGGGGTGTTTGTCTTGATGTTGGTCTACAATAGGTTTTAGCTGTAGTGCTAAGAGTTATTTTTTGTATCAGACCTCTTTTATTCCTTTGTGTATTAGGAATTAGAAACTGGGTGTAGCCTACCTAGGCATAAACATGATTTAGTACTCCAAATGCAAACATCATAGCTTCTCTTAATTTTCTTATTCTGTTGATTAAATTAAAAGTGAAGTAATTTTCACTGCTCTCTGATTCTTTTACAGTTTTATTTCCACCCTCCCACCCCCAAATATGCCACGCCCCTTTTTTTTTGCTTCTGCATTTCACAAAATGATTTTTTTTTTTTCATTTTTGGAAGGCCTAATAGTAATACGGAAAAAGATTGAAAGCTGAAATGTACTACTCTTGGTAAATAATGTGAGAAATATTAAGATGGAAAGGCAATACGATTGTCTAGAATAGTGTATATTTACTTATTCTAGCGTTCTCCTTGCATTGTATGCTTTAAAATTTATGTGATCCTTCGTAAACCTTAGCTAGCCTAGAAATTATTGCGTAGTTCGTGGGTCAAAGACTCTCATGCATACATAAACAGGCTGTATATAAGGAGGTGCCAGGCCTAACATTTGTCTAAAAATCTCAATGTTTAGGACCAGTATCCTTTGGAGCATAGCAAACCATTAAGGCAAAATTCTCAAGTTCAATAGACCGAATTAGTCACCACGGATGACGTCATCAAAATTTGGCCGTTTGGGTATTAAAAGTTGTTTACATCAAAAGTCCTATGCTAATGCATTGAGCGGAGTTTAAATGGTGTTCAGACTAAAAATATTAAGAATTTAGAGAGTCCTTCTAGGGGGCCTAGGCCCATTGCTCGTGGAGAGGAGGCTACGCAACAATGTTTAAGTTCTCCATTTGTTTATTTCACTCCATTTCAAATCCAGGTGACGGAACTAGGGGGTGCTGTGTTATGGAGAGTAATGTGTGACCGGAAACGGTCTGCATCAGTTGGTTGTTACCATGCGCCAGTGATGTTGGAGTACAGTATATAGTACAGCAAGATGAAACTATTAGGTAGGCCAAATGAATAAAGTTCGGAGTTTGTCGGGTAGTGAAATGATTATTGTACATTTTAAGTGCTAGCTAAATTCATAAGTGTAAGCTAAATTACGGTGATTAATTTAATTACCGAATTATTTCGAAGTTCCCTCTTTCCAAGAGGGGATGCAAATGCTTTGTGAAAATGACTACGCCGCGGTACTCATTACCAAAACCAGCGGAGGACATATCCACCGATTCCAAAAGAAGCAAGCCTGTTTAAGAGAATTGTAT